TAGTTGAATATGCTTTAAGTGTGGTTGAGGATATTCAGTCTAGCAAAGAATTTTTGACAGATTTAGTTTGTTGTGGTGATTTTGTTATAGCATTTTCTACCCTATTTGGTAATTTGTGCATTATTTGTGAATTTGTTACTCATGGTGATAATTCGAACAACTTTAGTACCTGGGTAATTCTGTTGCGCAATTCTTGGATTCATTTGATTGAGTTCGTTCTAGTTGGACTTTGTGGAAGAGGAAAAGAACTTTTAGTTGGAGAGTTTTGTTGAAGAGCTATTGGTTTATTCCTTATAATTGAATTTGTCTCCAGGTGGAGAAGTTCTTGAAATTTGTTCATTGTAATGGAATTTGTGTTTAAGTGGAGATTTGTTATTTTGTGACCCAAATTCCATTGGATATTCGTGGATTGGTTGAAAAAGGTGTTAAAGAGGTATGTAAAGTTTTGGGGCAGAAATTAGGACTTGGAATCGGTTTGGACCGAAATGTAGCTCCTGAGCACCATTCGAAGCATTGTCGTTGCTGCTCACCTGCCCCCACTTACCGCTTGAATGGTAGCCTTGCGCCAGCATATATCCCGAAAAAATTGTTTCCTTCTTTTAACGCAACTAAACACATTCTTTTAGTTCCTTTATATAGTCCATGTAATTCTTGGCTTTCATATGACTTTGAGAAAGTTAGAAATGTATTAGATACACACTATTCTTTGTATTTTCTCGCCATCATTAGTAAAATTTTTCATTCCTCTGCCATATTATTGTGTTCTTCTTGTATCGTGGCTGCTACTTCATATTGTGTCATACATCTTGCCTATTATTAACAAGTGATATCATTCAACGCATACATAGTTCTAGTTAATTTGCTAACAATTCTAATAGGGATAGAAAAACAAGCGAAGGATATAATGTGACTTCTTCAAATGGAAGTAACAGTAGTTACACATAAATCTGACATGTAAAAAAGAATTACAAAACAAACATGGTTAAAGTACGCGAGGTAAAAGTTTTATAGTTATAGTGATGAAAATATGATACATGCACAAGCTTAAACTGGATCTGGACTGAAAAAATAAGTTCAATTTCATAAATATCGGTAAAATTGAAGTAAAATATATTCTAGTGCAAGATATTTTAATGTCCATTTATAAATCCAAGGGGCAGAAAAGAATCAAACTTTTAATATTATGTCATAGTTGCTGATGTAGAGCATATATTGTAAGCAAATTAAAGAATAAAGGTGAAATATTTTCAAGAACGTTTGACAGTAAGATCAGGATATTATTCTCTAAGGCCAACAAAAATCATGCGAGTGTCATCATGATTCTTCAGAATAGCCAACCAAAATATAGGTTTTGATTGTCGATCAAACACAAAAAAGAAGAAACATATTCAGATGTGTAAACATGTTTGTCTAGAATAAAAAGTTATGATCATTTATTTATGAGTTCTAAGCTTTTGTAGATGTATTATTTTAAGTTTGGTTTCCTGTAGGCAAACTTTGTGATTCTCTGCACTCATAGCTATTTTTAGTATTGAGCGATCACTTGGGGAAGTTAACACTAGCCGACCTAAACTCTTGTTATTTTGAGTTTGTATTTAGTTTTTAGAGTTTGCATCAATTTGATAATACTCTAGAGACTTTATTTTTGTCAATTTTCTGGTTTTCATTGAATTAACCAGCAAGGAATCAAGTTAGTATTGATGGAATACATTGGAAACCCAACAATTGTTCCATAGCAACTAAGAGATTCTTTAAAATAATAAAAAAAAAATATTTTATATATATATATATATTACGCTTAGAGTTGTTCAAATATTTGTTCTAATTAGAGATGTTTATACACAAAAGGTTCGTGGGCTGCAACCCATGAATGAATTCATCTTACACTTCAAAGTCCTAAAAGTTGCAAGCACAATCACATCGACCCCAAAAGGTTTTAGACAAGTTAGGCTCGAAAAAGGGACGTGCCTCCACACTACCAACTGTAGTTTAAGCCATTGATTACATATTTAAATTATTCGCACTTAAAATGTCTTTGAGAAAATTAAATTTAAAATTGTGATTTATTTTTTAATAGTTATGTACCTTTAATATAATGGAGTTCAACTCTGTAGTGGTTTATTACCATACTGTCCAATAATTAAAATATATTTTTACTTTATTAAATATTTTGATAGTAACTCTACTGTCAGAGGCGAGAGATGAATAGTATTACTTCTTAACAAATATTCCATCTCTCAAAGTAGTTTGGAAAGAGAGATGTGAGGAAGAGAGAGAGAGAGAGAGGGAGAATGCTAATGCTTTTTTCCTATCTCAAATCAATTTTGTTCTCCCTACAATTTTGAATGTAGAATAGCATCTTTGGTTCTTGATCGAGCACCAATTTGAAGTTGCCAGCCTCATTTATTCCCAAAAAAGGTAGTCTTTCTTGATAGATAGAGACGCATCATTGATTCGTCTGAATCAGTAAGGTCCTTCTATTAATTATATTAATTTATATTAAAATGGAGTAAAGATAAAATATGCACTGAAAAGCTTAACCAAGCCAAATTGTATTAGTAATGTTTTTATTTGGTAGTACTAATTTTAATTTAATTCTTGGAATTTTATAAACCTTTCTGGAATTATCGGTGTTGGTTGGGAAAGTTTTTTTTCTAAACTATCCAATTGTACGACATGTGGCACAATGTCAAAAAAGATGTAAAACAAGATGTAGACAATACATGATTGATTCTTTGAATGATGTTAAGTGTACATCCCATGGTGTACACCTTTTTGACATTGTACGAAAATTCAAAAATGGGGGAAAAAAAGGGGTCCAATCATGTGCTGATATGTGACACAATGTCAAAAAGATGTAAAACAAGATATACACATAGCATGATTGATTTTTTGAATTATGTTATGTGTGCATCCAATGGTGTACATCTTTTTTGACATTGTGTGAAAATTTTAAAGAGTGTTTGACAGGAAAGCCTTTTTTTTTTTTTTAAACTGCCAAATCATGTGTTGATACGTGGAACAATGTCAAAGAAGATGTACACATAGATTCTTTGAATTATGCTAAATGTACATTCCATAGTGTGCACTTTTTTACATGGTGTGGAAATTCAAAAAGTGTTGGGTGGGAAAGTGTTTTTTTTTTTTTATTTTTCCAACATTTTTTTTTTTTTTTAACTGTCCAATCATGTGCGATACGTGGCACAATATAAAAAACGATGTAAAACAAAATGTACACAGCATGATTGATCCTTTGAATTAGGCTAAGTATACATCCCATGGTGTACGCCTTTTTTGATATTGTGTGAAACTTCAAAAAGTGTTGGACGGGAAAGTAATTTAAAAAAAAAAGGTTCAATCATGAGCCAACACATGGCACATTGTGAAAAAAGATGTAAAACAAGATGTACACATAGCATGATTGATAGGTTCTTTTGTTATTGGGACTAAAAATTATTAAGTGTCTCTCTTCCCAATTTCGGAACTCTGAAAGCTTATAGGTGATGGTAAGATTTTTCAGTGTTTGATCTAATGATATTTATGTTTTGATATGCGATTGGGCAATGGAATATTGAAATATGGATTTGATCTTCAAAATATGTTCTCTTGATTAAAATTAAGGCTCCACCAATAATGAAACAATATTTGTAATGAATTATGAATAATTGATCAAGTGGTTGAATCTAGAGATCTTTGGAATGAATTTAGGATCTTCAATAATATGATCTTTGATGCAAAATAATGTTCTACACATTTTGGAATGGACCTACGTTTGCATACTTATAATAGGTAGTGTTTTGAGATGAAATAGGATAGAGAAATACTGTTAAAATCGAATAAGCATTCTACCTTGGATAAATACGCCACTCGAGCGCTACATCTGGCCTAGTGAGAGATGACTCCACCGCTCAAGCACCGGCGTCGCATCCAATAAGCGTGATGCTCCTGGTCTGAACGCTTGAGCGCCATCTTGATGCGCAACAAGCGATCGTCTTATCTGTTTCTTGATCTTTTAGAATGTTTACGACTTTTTTAGAACTCTACCAACCCTCAAATTATCTTGACTTAAATTACAACTCAAATAACCATTATTTTGAATATGGATAAAGTTAATTATAATTAGGACCTAACAGAATAATTATGAATTAACTAACAGGAGTTGGATTAATTTAAACATACATTCCATTATTTTGTTGTTATGCTTTTATCCAGTAAATTGAACTAATTATTCATTGCTATCCTTTTTTTAGGGTTCTTTCTATCTATTCGAAGGCTTATTATACACACTCATTCAAAGAAAGTCAATTTTCAATCAACTGTTTGCCAAGAATATCAACTTTTCAGTAGTATACACACCAAAGAGTTGCGGAATCATTAGGATTAATTAATTTTCAGATGCCCAATAATTAATAAATATGACAAGACCCTAGATGAATTAATACCCTATGATTGAAATAAATTCGAATATCAATCATGCTTCTTGTACAATATATTTTATAACTTGGTTTGCAAAGTATGAGTTAACAAACCTCACATCCATCTATTTGAAAAATTATTTTTAATGCCAGAAATTTTTCAACACACTTGTTATCAATCAAGTTGTGCAAATACATTTGTACAAGTGGCTTTATTCTTCGAATATTGTCTCTAATGGACAATATTATTCTCTTTTATCATCACTTAGTGCTGTATATTTAAATATTAATTACCTAAATCCTCTCAATTATTATATCCAAACATGTCACTTGTTATCAACATTTAGCACGTTTTTGATTTTGTTAGAAAAGTAGATTAAAATTTAATTCAAAGTTAACTACTAATTTTAGTAACACATTTTATGGGACCAAAAACTTTTCTATCACATATTCCATCAATTTTTATCAAAGTCTACTAAAAATTTGATTTTTGTCTAAACCAAACAGGAAATTAATTAATCTTCCTAATAATTCGAAATCACTTCGGTCTGTGCTGTCTATATATAGCCCGTCTTATATGGAAATCAGTAAACCCTAAAAACAAATCTGTATCAATTTTTATTTGCAAGAAACATGGCCAAGTTTTCCCTCAATAGCCTTTTGCTTCTCAGGTTCGCAACTATTTTTCATGCAATACAATGCCATTTTCGATATTTCCTCTTCTTTTATTTGATGAATTTCTTTTCTGTTTAGATTATTCTGTATGAACATGTGTCCATGAAAAGACAACATGGTTTCTTTCAAAAAGAATTCATATATTTGACCTAACACAATAATATTAAGAATAATGCTAAATTTGTCATTCTTTTATTTTTATAGTTAAATTCTTTAATCTTCTTAATTTTGTCTATATGCAGCAGGAGAGAATCAACAGTTGCAGCAGAGATTACTAAAACTCAGACCACGACATCGTCCGTAATTAAAGAAGTGGCTGATTCTGTAAGAAAAGATGTATTCTGGATGAAAGATCCAAAGACTGGTAACTGGATTCCAGAGACTCACTTTGAGCAGATTGATGTTGCAGAGCTCAGAGAGAAACTTCTTTCCAAGAAGACAAAATCTGAAGGTTTTTAATGGGGCCCCCGTTGTGAAATTCTGGTGAATTTAGGCTGGAATTCCTGTAAAACCAATGTTCATGAATAAATTTCAGTTTTTGTTTGCCTGTATTTTGGAAAATGGGGCTCAAACCATAGAATACTTTTGTGCCATGGATTCCTTCCATGTACTACTGTTTGTCTATGATTTAAATAATTTTGCTTTATCATTATCTTGTTCGGGGCCAGATGAAAGAAAAATCTTTTAAATCATAGTTTTGCTCCTTTAACCGTTTCAGGTTGGCTCATTTCAGTGTTGCTTCAAATAATATTGGAAGCCGTTAGTTTCATCCATCATTTTTATGTATCTATCCACTTTTTTCTTTTCAAAAAAAATAATTATATTAATATCGCAAAATTTACTTGTTACATCACAATTTTTATTAATAATTTGTTAACTTCAATGGTCCTGAGTAAAATTACTTAATTAATCACACTTTCAAATATACTTTTTAACTTTAAGTAACTTATAAACTGTTTTCTTCGCGGCTGTGGTGCGGTTCAA